GCCCGGAGTCCTCCGGGAGTGGGCAGCATACAAGACAAATAATAAATAAATAAATAAATGCCATTCGGGGTCTCATGATTAAATCAGGGACCTCCTCACTCTGCTGGACAAAGTTTTTTGGAAGAACCGTTGTCTTTTTCAAGCTCATCTCCGGAGCTGGAGTAGTACTTTTGGAAAACGGATCTTAAGACAAGAAATTTTAAAGTAGTTAGATTTTCTGGGAGGAGCCCCTTTTGAAAATCTAGATACCCAACGGTTTTGAGGAGCCTGAAAAATCGGGAATCGGCTGTTGAGTGTTGAAACGATGGGAACCCTTGGGAGATATCCGCATCGTTCTGCTTCCTGAAGGAAGCTGCTTGGCGCGTTTCCAAAAGAGCATTTTGCTGAGTGCTCGGGGCGACATCTTCCAACCGACCCGATTGTATTTGGGAGTTTTTGTTTTCAAAATAATTGCCTTTTTGAATTATGCATGGGAGCGCAGCGTGGGCAATGCTTAGATCGTGCAGTGAGAGAACCACGGAGACGACGCAATCGTTTTCATGATGCATTTTGCCGTGTAAGGGTGGCACGCATGTGGCACCAGAATTGCAAGGGTTAACCTCCCCGTGTCCCACTGAACGTGATGGTCGGATATGACCAGCCTGCTTTCTCAGATATTTTCCTTGGGCAGCCATGCAAATTCCACCTCGGCAGATGGCTGGCCTTACCTCACCTTAGGAATTAGCTGGGTCAGGCCTGATTATTAGTTGGATAGGAAGCCACTAGCAAATCCCAGCCTCTAAGGTTAGATTAGGACAAGGTTTCTCAACCATGGCAGCTTGAAGAGAAGTGGACTCCAATTCCCAGAATCCCCCTGGGTGGAGGTTACTGGGAGTTGAAGTCCAAGTTGCCGAGGCTGAGAAAGGCTTGATTAGGAAATCAAAAATGCTTCCTGAAGTTTTTCAGGAGTCCTGCCTTAAATTGGACGGTTTTGAAGCCCTAAAATAGGAATGTCACTCTCCCAGACCACTAGAAGTCTCCTAAACTATCTGGCCAACATATCTAATATATATCCATTCTCTGTGACTCCCCATTCCACATGCTTATCCCTCCAGTACATGGTTCAATGTTTTTGTGCCTTCTCTAAATTCAATAGTCTTTTGTATTTGCAAGTCAGTTTTGAATTCCACTTTTTATTTGGACGGGCTAATTATTCTTAAAAAGACTCGTGAATGTGATTGTTCTGAATTGAAACTTAATTCTTCCTTCCTTCCTTCCCTCTCCTTTCTTCCTCTCCTTCCTTCCTTCCTTCCTCATCTCCTTCCTTCCTTCACTCCTCCTTCCTTCCCCCTCATTCCTCTCCTTTCCCCTCTCCTTCCTTCCTTCCTCCTATCCTTCCTCTCTCTCTCTCCTTCCATCCTTCCTTCCTCCTCTCCTTCCCTCCTTCTCTCCTTCCTCTCTCTCGCTCCTTCCTTCCTTCCTTCCTTCTCTCCTCTCCTTCCTTCCCCTTCCTTCCTCTCCTTTCCCCTCTCCTTCCTTCCTTCCTTCCTCCTCTCCTTCCTCTCTCTCTCCTTCCATCCTTCCTTCCCAGAATGCAGTAACTTCTCCCCTCCCGTGACCGTCATCCTGCTGATCTTCTTGTGCCTTGAAGGGTTTCTGTTTCTGACGTTCACCGCCGTGATGTTCGGCACCCAGATCCATTCGATATGCAATGACGAAACGGTAAGCCATTTCCTTCCCTCCCCCCCCCAACATTACCTCCCCCACTGGTTGCAATTTGGACCGGCCGTTCTCGCAACCTTTCCCCCTCCCCTCCAGCTGAGACCTTGAATCTGGGCTCACACACAAATCCCCCAAGTTTGCAGAATTTCACACAAGCCCCCCCCCCCCTTTTGACTTGCAGGAGATCGAACGGCTGAAGAGCGAGAAGCCGACGTGGGAAAGGAGGCTCTGCTGGGAAGGGATGAAGTCGGTCTTCGGGGGACAACCGTCTCTGCTCTGGATTAATCCTTTCGCTGGGTTCCGAATCCGGAGGCTCCTGTTGAGGAGGGCCAAGAAAGGCGCGCCTGAGTTTTCGGTCTGAGCCCGCCCAATCATGCTGAAACCCACACGAGGCGTTCGTTTGTATTTATTGTGCCGGGGGGGGGGGAGGAGCAGGGGGGGGAAGCCGCAACCGGGGGCCAGCGGACTTTATAACCAACGTACCGAACAAACATTTTGCTTGTAGCAAGCAGAATTTTTATACCTTTATAACCTCCGATGTCTGGCTTGCGGAAGGCGGAATGTGGCCACGCCGGGCTTCCGTCGTCGAGCGGCACGAACCAAACGCCACGGGGAAAGGGACAGTCAGGTTGAGGAACTGTCCAAATAGCGTCTCCCGTCACGGTTAACGTGATTTTAAGAGAAACTGCATAGGCATCTTTTTTTTCTCCTCATTTTTTTCCGCCAGATCTCTTCGTTAAAGGAGCCTGTGGGATTTCCTCTTTTTGTCCCCTTTTGATTTCTCCTCTGTTTTGAAAAGACTGTTCCTGGAGCCGCCGTTGTCAATCACAGGACGCCGTTGCCAATCATGAGATGCAATTGTCAATCCCAAGATACCGTTGCCCATCATGAAACACCCATTTGTCAATCACGGGACCTGCTGGAAAGGGCTAGCCAAACCCCACTCCCCGAAACGGGAAAGTTTCAGGATGGTGGCCCGGCGCCAGGGGTGTCCTTTTCCCTCTTCGCCCCGACAAGGCCTGGGAGTGTTGTGTTAAGGGTGGGTGATGATTTCACACGGCTTCGGATTCTCCCACTAGAAGAACCCACAGCTTGCCAGGATGAGGCCTCAGGTTCCCTCCCCTCACCGGATCATTCCATTTTTAGGGTCAGTATCCGCCCCGTGCTAAATAGGAGGCCACCCTACGGACAATTTTAAGGGAAGCCCTTCTCTGCTATTTGGGGAGGCCAAGAATGGATTTTGAAGAAGAAAGAAAGACGTTTTTGAAGACGCTGCCTTAGATCCCAAGAGTGCTGGTGGTCCTCGACTTAACAACCATTCGTTTAATGTCCGACGGCTGGCTGGGGAATTCTAGGAAGTTGAACTCCAGCTCTTAAAAAAAAAAAAAGTTGCCCAGGTTGAGATAACATTAGAAGAAGGGAAGAGTTTCTTCGAGATTGAAAAAAACGCTACAATTAAGGAAGCACTCACTAAAGGCAGGTGGGCGTTTAACTCTACATAGGATTCAGATCGGTCATGAGATTCCACATGTTTCCCAATGGTAATTATGCTTAAATGATGCTTGCCCACCCTGTGTGTTTGTGTGTGTGTGTGTTTCCGTAGATTTTCAGGGATGTAGGTATGCTGGTCTTGTTGTATTTGGGTCTTTTCCCCGTGTAAAACAAAATGAGCTTCTTCTGAAGAGTTGTGTTAACTCTAATAGGGATGAGTCCTTTTCGTTCCAGTAATGGCATCGCATGCTTCTACCCCCTTAGCTGGGCATCTACAGAGGGTGGCAGGAGGATACCCGTGCGATGAAGGTGCCGCACGAAGGTTGGCGCTTAACGTACTTGTGTCTCCGAGGTTGAGATACAAGTTCACCAGAACTGCATTTGCACAACAATTTGCGTATGGATTAAGGAGGGTTTGTGGTGGGCCTCTCGGAGAAGATTTTGACTTGAGTGAAGTCCTCTGGGTGCAGATGTAGAAGCATTCGGGGGCGGTGTGGTGGCTCAGCGGTTAAAGATGCTGGGCGAGTGGACTGGAAAGTTGGCAGCCCAGGTTCCAGGCCCGAGCGCCACTTAATGGGGTGAGCCCCCATCCTCATTCCAGCTCCTGCCAACCTAGCAGTTCAAAGCGTGCAAGTAGATAAATAGGTACCCGCTTTGGTGAGAAGGGAACAGCGATCCGTGACGTCGTGCTGGCCACGTGACCACAGAAATGTCTTTGGGCAGCGCTGGCTCACAATGGCCTAGAAATGAGAGCTGAGATTCAGTAGCGGGGTAAAAATCTGCAGCAACCCCTTTTTAACCTTCGCGTGTAGAAAGAGGTGTGTGTGTAGCAGGCTTAGGCCCACAGCATCTCAAGATGAAGGTTGCAGGGCACTGATGGCAAACCTTTTTGGCACCAAGTGCCGGAAATGGAGCACGGGCAGGCACTCACCTCATCCACAACCCGGAAGAGGAGCAGCCCCGGCGGCTTGCGCGTACCGGAAAATGTACTTCTGGTTTCCGGCACGCTAGTTTTCCAGTTACTGGCAAGCATGCGCAAGCAACGATCAGCTGGCTGGCAGGAGCTCACGCTGGAAAACAGAAGGCCAGCTCTTCCAGTTTCCGGCAGTGCCAAACGCACAAAGGCCCGCTGATTGTCGTCCGTGCGTGCATGCCAGAAACCCGGGGGAGAACGGGTGACACCGCAAGTGCCAGGCAACATGGCTTAGGTTCTCCACCACAGCCGTAGGGTGTGAACATTCGGACGAAAGCAGCTGGCATTGGTTCCTGTCGCTCCCATTGGCTCACCTCGCTTCTTGTTGTATAGTGCCTTAACTTTTTTTTGTGAGTTGGGTTGCATGTTTATAATAAAGAGGGGTCCAACAGAGTGCTATTATTGTTAAGAAGTCTCTCCTAGCATCCTTCCTGGGGCATGCGTCAGCATTTAAAAATACGCAGGATTGATGGAACAGGTGAGGAAGAAGAGAGACCAAACTACAGGCGTGTCCTTCGGTAGGTTTTTTCCAAGACGATGTAGGTGTTCCTCCTCCTTGCAAGCCAAATCTAGTGTTACTTCTCCTTTCCGAGAGAACTTGGTCCACCAGTATATATCCACCACGGTGTTAAGGAGGACACCAGTCCTCCGTTCTTAGGAGCCACATCAGGCTAATAAGCATATAAAGATATCCATGAATATTTTCCCTGCTATCGGTTGCCGTTTTTAACATCTGCCGTGCAGAAGAAATACCGCCCGTTGCAAGTGAGCAGGGCCTTAGTAAGGGGTAAGATATTTAGCATTTACAGAACCCGGCCGAGGAGTGCTTGGTACATCTTAACAAACTCTTCTCAGTTCTCTAAACAAAATGTGGGCAGTTCGAGTCTTAGTTTGACGTTAATCCTGGAGGAAGCTGCCACTGGAAGAAAAATGCAACACAAGATAGAAAGGTGGTGGTGGGGGAAAGGAGCCAGTTAAAAATCTCTGGCGGTTTCATTCCTGTCGTTTGAGAATTAGATATAGCAACCTTGAAGGACCTCGCTCATATCTAGGTCACCTCCGGTGGGACTGTCCTTCTGAAACTCAGCAGATCATGTTTGAAGAGGGGATGATGTCTCTGGTTTTAGCAAATGTGTGTGTGGAATGGATGGAAACGGACGTTCCTTGGTTTTCAGATCCTCGTTCTGTTGTAATTTTTTTTTTATATAAAAATGTGGAATAAAGTTAACCGATGGAAGCTTTGTTGACTAGTCCCAGGCAAATGGTGGCTTTGATTTACTTTATGGGGGTGGAGACATTGTTCCTGGGAAGCGGGACACAAAGTTCCCAGGTTCATAATGTGGTTCCCTCTGAGCACAAAATCATTGACGGACCCATCAGGAGAGAGAATATGGGTTGATTTAATGGTAGCAGTGTTCCAATATTTATGGGGTTTCCACAAAGAAGAAGGGGTCAGCTTATTTTCAGAAGGCAAGACAAGAAACAGTGGATGGAAACTAATCAAGGAGAGAAGCAACTTAGAACTAAGAAGGCATTTCCTGACAGTGAAGACAATTGAGAATGGCTTCCCTCTAGGAGTTGTTGGTGCTTCCTCACTGGAGATTTTTTTTTTTTTAAACCTATCTGAAATGGTATTGGATCTCCTGCTTGAGCAGGGGGTTGGACTAGAAGACCTCCAAGGTCCCTTCCAGATCTATTCTGATCGATTGAGTGCATCCTTCAGCTTCTTGTGAAGACCTACCTTGCCCGCAAGCCATAAATGGCCATTCTGAAGTATTAACTCGATACGTTGCTTCGAAGACTTTTATTTTAAGTACAATTTATTTTGTTCCAACATTGATATCTTACAAATGGCAAGAGGAATCTCAAAAACGTAGGTTAAATCCTAGGATTACACCAATCATATATACTGAATGCATCTCTCAGCTAGAACTACCATTGGGCTATGGCCATCAAACTGGTTTTACGATCTGCATTGAGCTAATCTCCATTTGCTGTTCCACCCAAACCAGTCCTGTTGTTTCCACAACAACACAATAGATGGGAGTGTAACACAAAATAAACCACTTAACTGCCAATGTTTTATATGCTAGTTAACACTTGTTATGCTAATGTTGCGGGAAGGACCCAAGTGACATACAAGGTGATTTTAATGGGCGAGAAACCTAGCAATGTTGACTGCCATCATGGGAGCAAAGCTTGTTGAATTCGAAAAGGGGCAACTACAAAAAAATAAAGAGTGGATTTCCTAGAGGATCTCTTGTTTGGGGATGACCACCTGGGGCAAAAGGGTTGTTTGGATTTCAGATCCGGAGGTGGGACCCAGTTTGTAGTCTTCACTTCCTGTGCTGGTGGAAGGAGAAGGGAGCGAAGTTTCTGGTGAAGCTGTAGAAGGAAAGATGAACATGATAATTACTTCTCGTGTACGTGAGCCATGATTTGCTTTCCTGACCAGTCTGTCCTGGACCTTCAAGAAGTCCTTCATGATGTGTTCGGAAGATCCCATTCCCCAGTGGATCCACTCCTTATCTACTGTCTTTCTGCCAGTCTACTTCATCACCGCCCTTTCATCCAATCATTATCACCCACCCACCCACTCTAGTCATTTCCAAGCATTTGTATCCTTTAGGTCAATGGTCAAGGTTCAACCACAATTTCCTAGTTGAAACATTGAGAAACTTGGTACCTACAGACTGAGATGGTGTGAATGACTGAGCCAATTGTGCTAGGCAGCACGATGTGACTTGGAAGATGTTCCATGTTATGGCTGGAAGGGCCTGGCTGGTATTGGGGCATATCCATGCTTGTTCCTGTGCAAAAAGAAACCCATCTCAGTCCAATCATATTCAGTGAACAAACCCCCAAATAGCAGTCTGATTTTAATTCTGGATGTCCACGTTCAAACTACGTCAAGTGACACGAAAGGAAACGGTCTGTCTTGGGAGCCTGTTCCCCTTGAAGAATCTACACAAAAGTCAGAACTACAGTAGAAGCAAAGACAATTGAACACTCCTGGCATTGCCTTTCAGTTTTCAACGGATGACAACATCCCCAAATTCTGACTCCCAGCTATTTTCAGTCCTCTAATAAAATCTCAGGAGGCAGGGAAAGAACTAAGTTCAGTCCTCGTTGAATTCCAAGCCATTTAACACCTAGGTAGGTTTCTAAAAAGAAATTTAATAGAAATGGAATCTGCGCCACAGAGTTGTGTTATAGGACAGGGGGTGTCCAAACTTGGTAACTTTTAAGACTTGTGGACTTCAACTCCCAGAATTCCTCAGTTAGCACGGCTGGCTGAGGAACTCAAGAAGTTCACAAGTCTTAAAATTGCCAAAATGGAGATTCCCGTTACATGACTTATCTAGGCATGACTTATCTAGGCTCATCATCCCTTCAAACAAAAACAGGTCTGGAATGAACCCTCCCCCCACCCAAGCCTTCCGCAAAATCAATGGATTGTGGGACAATTTGGACTCTCTTGCTCATAAATCATCATTTGGGGATTTAAAGAATTCCCTTACTGTGTAAGGAAGCCATATTAACATAGCTTTCCCCCCCTCCACCGGTAATCACCAATTCAACTTTGTTCTAGCTCTTTTTTTCAATCCCAAGATTCATCAGAATTTTTTTTTTTAGATTTATATACCGCTTCAAAGGGCTTTTAGCCCTCTATAAGCGGCTTACAGAGTCAGCATATCGCCCCCCACAATCTGGGTCCTCATTTTACCCACCTCGGAAGGATGGAAGGCTGAGTCAACCTTGAGCCGGTGAGATTTGAACTGCCGAACTGCAGCTAGCAGTCAGCTGAAGTAGCCTGCAGTACTGCACTCTAACCACTGCGCCACTTCGGCTCAATAATGCTCTTGGAACAGGGTTAAAACTAGCCAAGCCAAACAGAGATATGTGAGCGGGGCTACTAGTTAAAGATATTGTGTAGACCTAACTCCAAAGCTTCTTTCTCTGTCTCCCAGTTTTGTTATCCCATTTTTCTTTCAGCAGGTTGAGATGGTAGATGGAACATCCGTGGTTGTGTTTTCTCCACAACCACCACCTCGCGGGGTAGGTTGGGTTGCATGAGAAGGACAACCTAAGAGGTTCCTCAGAGGTTCCTTCTTGAAGGAGGAGCAGAAGTTGGGTGTCCTTGCTCCTAATCCAGGCCCCCTTGACGTCTAGTCCAGGCCCCTTCACATCTCCACCCACGTTGTACCTCCAAGGAGCATTTCTTGCAGCAAGCTGTCAATCCTGGCCATGCCGAAGAGTTTCATGAACTGCACTTGCTCGATCATCTGCCAAGTGATGCTTTGCAGCGGAGGGAGCAGGAGGAGGATGTCGCTGAACCTTCCCCGGGAATCGTACTGCCGGTCGTTGATGTAATCCTCCAGGTTCACTTGCACCTGGAAACGCATGTTCTTGACTTTCCCCGGATCGCTCAGCCCTTTGCAATCTGGGACAAGGAGAAAGGAGAGAGACAAAGCAGATGGAAATGAAGGCGAGCAAATGTTGTCGGCCACGCTTAGGGTGGGAGCATGACCGAGAAGGGAAATGATCAGGTGAAGCAAAAACAATAGAAAATTAAATTTGGTTTAGGACCGAGGTACCGTATTTTTCGGAGTATAAGACGCACCGAGGTTTTGAAGAGGTAATATTTAAAAAAAAAAAGGTTTTGCACTCTGCAGACCTACCCAAAACAGCCCGTTCTTCATGAAAATGGGCCCGTTTTTTTTTTTGCATACCCTTTAGGAGGTTTGTAGAGTGCTCTTGGGGGAAGGGCAAAAATGAGAAAATAACGGCCCATTTTTCGCCAAAAAAGGGCATGGATAGCCTTTAGGAGGCTTATAGAGTGCTCTTGGGGGATGGGGGGCAAAATTGAGCAAAGAATGGCCCACCTTTAGCTCATTTCTGCCCTCCCAAGCCCCTAGGAGCTGTCTGAAAGCCCCCTATAGGCTATGCACAGGCTTTTTGGTGAAGGAAGCGGGGTTTTGGGAGGCAAAAAATGCTGCATTCAGTGTATAAGACGCACCCAGATTTTCAGCCTCTTGGGGGGGGAAAGGTGCGTCTTATACTCTGAAAAATACAGTAGGTTTTAAAACAATGGTAGAAGGTCCAGGAAAGCTGAAAGAAGCCAAGGTACCATGTTTTCCCCAAAAATAAGACCTCCCTGGATAATAAACCCAATCAGGCTTTTGAGCTCATACCCTAAAATAAGCCCTCGCCCAAAAACATTGCAGCCCATCAGCAGCTATGAGGTGACCTCCTGCACCTCAAAAATAATAAGACCTCCCCGAAAATAAGGCCAAGCACTTATTTGGGGGGCTCAAAAGAAAATAAAACCTTGTTTTGTTTTCTTTTTTTTAGCAGATTTTTTTTTATTTTTTCCCTTCTACAACACCTTACAGTCATTACATCAACATTGTTATGTCATCAT